CAGCAGGTAACAGACGTTGTTTCCCTTCAAGGGAATCTAGAATCAAAGGGTGTAATCTCAGAGGGAATCAAGAGCTATGGGGGAAAGGCAGGAAAGTGAAGCTGAGGATTATCAGATCAGCCATGACCTCATTGAATGATGGAGCTCACTCAATGGGCTGAATGGCCTATTTTGTTCCTATATTTTATGGTCAATGGGAAGGATTTTGGCAGTGAGGTTATTTTGGATGCTTCAGTAAAGGACCAGAACGTGTACATCAGGCAGAATGATTTTTATCATTGATTTGACAAAAATGTCTACAGTTTTATGCTGATCACAGGAGTACCAGGGCTAATTCTAGCTCTCACCTAATATCCCAGCTGAGACTAACATGGTAGAGCCTGAAACTGGCAGCCTATGCTGTGTTTAATGATCAGGATTCTACAGGTGACTTCACCCGCTGTGCCACTGGAGAATTGTACATTAGGACAATAGCACAAAACAAACTGTCCAATCTGGACCTAAATTACTGAGAGCACACACTTCAATAGAATGAATATTTTATACTTGGAGCTCTGCCTAGCATATGGTCTCATGCAGGATAATTTCACTGTGACACAACAGGGGTTTGTGTTAATGGATTTGATTTCAATTTTAAATCATCTAATGAAAATTGATTGTGCTATTTGAAAATAGGGGTGAGCATTGAGCGACAGTAGTTTGCTGCATTATTGGGACTACTGACTGGGCACCTGACATTGACAACAGCTATCTAAAGCAGGAAGGTTGGTTTCCCCCTAATTCTGATGAACTGAAATGATCAAGAGGGTATGAACTATACAGAGAGACTAGAAAAACTCGGGTTATTTTCTCCGGAGTGGCGAAGGCTGAGGGGAGACTTGATTGAAGTCTATGAAATTATGAGATGCATAGATAGGGTTGACAGTCAGAATCTTTTTCCCAGAGTTGAAATGTCTAAAACTCAGGGGCATACATTTAAGGTGAGAAGGGGTAAGTTCAAAGGAGATGTGAAGGGCAAGTTTTTAACACAGCGAGTGGCAGGAGTGTGGAACGCATTACCTGAGTGGTACTGGAGGCAGATATGAAAGGAGCGTTTAAGAGACTTTTAGATAAGTACATGAATATGCAAGGAATGGAGGGATATGGATCAAGGGATTAGTTTAATTTGGCATTGTGTTTGTTTCAACATCATTGACCAGAGGGCCTGGTCCTGCACTGTACAGTTCTATGTTCTTTCCATAGATAATGGAATATCATTTTGCTCTGTTCAATCACCCAATGATTTGTATGTCCTTGTATGGTATGATCTGCCTGTACTGCATGCAAAACAAAACTTTGCACTGTACTTAGGTACAAGTGACAATAAATCAAACCAAACCAAATCAATTCAAATCCTTTCATCCACCCTGGCTTAGGTTAAGGCCATTAGGAGAGCGAGCAACCAAATTTGAATTCAAACAGAGACAAAGAAAAGGTAGCAGGGCCAAAGTGTTCAGAGATCTTAAATCAGAATGTGTATTAGTTGAAGACAAACACAATAAATTATTTTTTAAAATGTAATTAGAATATTCAGGGGGAGCGAGAACGAAATTCCCATCAAAGAAAGCTTCCAAATGCTTCCGGTGATCATGAATTAACTGCTCCCAGTTCTGAGGATGGGTCACTGGACCCGAAACGTTAACTCTGATTTTTTTTCCTTCACAGATGCTGAGCTTTTCCAGCAACTTCTGTTTTTGTCCCAGGTACTAATCCCGCTAGCCCCTTCCCCGGTAGGTGCAGAAATCTGCTGGGGTTCACTTCTTCAATGGTTTTGGGCCACCCTCCAGATGGTTGCTGAAATGTGTTTGACAGTGGGTTGTCAACCCCCATTCAGACAACCCCCATTAACACAAACTCCTATCGAGTGATAGTGTGTTTCAGTTTGAGGCCGACAAGTCCATGGTGAATGTGTGGTGAGCAGGCCAGATAACTTTTATCACTGACCCCAGTCCCTGAGACGGCCTTGCATCATGCTTTTTTCTTCCCCTGTGGCTGGCTCCGAACAGAATTTCTGCCGACTTGAGGAAACTTGCGGGCTATGGAATGGGAAAAAGCTGCTGAGGCCCAAAAGACACTTAAAGGGGTACGCTTTTAATAAAAGTCTCCAATTTCCACTGGTCGGATCCACTGGTCGGCTAATATGCCAATCCATTTTTCGTACAATCTGGCCTCGCTACATATCTGTTAAATGCTGCCATATGTAGTGTCCAATGTTGAAAATACAATTTCCATTTATTTTGTTTCTTTCCCAATGTGCCAAAGCCGATTAAATACTTTTGGAGTGTAGTCGCTCTTGTACTGGAGGGAAACACAACGAAGTGCGCACAGCAAGATCCCGAAAACAGCACAAATCATTTGAGTAAATATGATCTGTCCATTCATCATTCCCATGCCCCCTCTCTCTCTATTTTCACTCACGGTGTCGTTTTGTTTACCGTTTCATCCTTGGTTTTGTTTTTTCTCTGATATTGCTATTTCAGTCCTTTTGTTTTATTTCTTTGGCCCTGTTCTCAGTTGAGATTTGTTCATACTCTTGAGCTTTCATGTTAGTTGTCTGTTTTCTGTGATGTTCTCATCTTTTACTTCCCTCTCTTCCTCTAGTTCTGTTTCTTTTATCGCTGTTTATTTCCCATCCGTGTAGTTCAGTCTTCTGTCCTGCATCTATATTCAACCCTTTTATCTTCCTCTATATCCCCAGTGTTCTCATTTCTGTCTCTTTCACCATAATCTTAGTTAGTTTCCTATCTTTATTTTGTCGGCCTGCATATTATTTCTCCATTTTCAATGGATTGTCACGATTTTCTTAACAGCTTTCTGCTTTTTTTAGTTATTAACCCGTGTCCTCTCTTTTTCATTTCCATTCGTTTCTTTTTCTTTTCTCCAACTACACTGCCCCTTTCTCTTCCTTTCCCAGCATATCCGAGCTCTTAATCTTCTCATGCTGCCTATTTGCCCCTTCATCGCCCGTCACCTCAGTCCCTTATTTCCTTGTCTCTCAACAGCATTTTTATGCCTGTGTCTCTCACTGACCTGCACCCGGACTTCAGGCAGGTTGACTTTCATGGCTAGCTCCTCTCTGCTGTACACATCGGGGTAGTGGGACTTTTCGAAGGCTCTCTCCAGCTCGTGGAGCTGGTACGTGGTGAAGGTAGTGCGGTTCCTCCTGTGCTTCTTCTTAGGTGGCTCCTCATCCATTTTCTGCTCGGCTTTCTGCTCGCTGTCTGTCAGCTCACCAAAATCCTTGTTCAAGAACAGCCTGGAATCTGAGGGAGCAGAAACGGAAACTATCACCCAAAAGTTGAGATAAATGCTTCCTCTATAAAGAGTTGTGATTTCACTAACTGCCTTAGCAAATAAATTCTCTCTCAATTCTGTAGCCAAGTTACAAAGACTAGATATTGGTGATAAAATATTCGAACACCACGCCGTTCCGTAAATCCTCATCATGTTTCTCAAAGCCTCGTTAGAATTATATCGTACACGGGAAGCCAGACTAAACTCTACTGGAATTTTCATTACAAACTGTGATGATTTCAAGTGTGTCATCCGTCTGAAGCAGCCAGACTGGACTCGAAATCATGAACTCGATTTTTCTCTCCACAGACTCTACTGGACCTGCTGAATTCCTAGAGCATTTTGTGCTTTAACTCCGATTTCCGCAGTATATTGCTTTCGTAAACTGTACTAGGAATACAGCTGCCATCCAACAGATTGCATGTTCTGTTCTGCCGGATTCGAACATCAATTTCACTCGGGGTGTCGCGGGGGTCACTGTCACGGGATATTTGTATTGAATGTTTAGTGATGTGGGGGGACTTGAGCTGGACTTGTTTCAGGGCGTTGTTTTCAACTGAAAGAAAAAGCAGAGGAAACTCCAAGAAGCCTTGAATTCTCCTGCATTGGCTATTGGTGAGACTGCACCTGGATTGCTGCACACCACTATGGCCTCCTAACTTCAGGAAGCGAATATTTGCACTGGAGGCAGTTCAGAAAATTCATTGGGCTAATTCCTGGGATGAAAGAGATGTCTTTTGAGGAAATGTTCATTGGAGTTTAGAAGAATGAGAGATGATTATATTTAAATATATAAGATTCCGAGAGACCCTGGAGAGTATGCTTCTTTTTGTGGGTGAATCTCAATTAAGGAGCACATTTCAAAAAGTCTCTATTTAAGAGGGGGATTTTGTTCTCTGGTGTGTATGTGTGTGTGTGGGGGGGGGGAGGGGTGGGGGGGGGGGGGGGCGGGGGTGGTAAATGGGGGACGTTAGTATCGGGATTTTTCTTCCACAGGAAACAGTGGAAGCTTGCTCACCTGGGGCTGAGTGAGACAGATTATGCGTTGAGTCAAGGGTCAATTGGAACTGAGGCCAAAGTCAGATCAACACAACCTTACTGAAATGATGGGCCGCTGCTATTTCTTCGGATCGCTGCCTGACCAGCGGCCTGCTACTAGCCCACTCCCTCTCACCCCACTAAGCACCAGGGCGATCTCGATGACCCCTGTTTTCCGCCCTTACTCTGTGCTTTGCTGTGTGTGAATTTGTTCAGTTTCCGTCTGATTTTCCTGAGCTGTGGCTTCATCCGGTAACGAAATGTGATGCCTTCAACATTTCTAGAAGCTGAAAACGCTAACAAAACCAAACGTGACACAACGAAACGAAGACAATGCATTCGAGCAAAAAACAAGCAAAACGAAAAAAAGATGAACAATATATTCCTAAGTGTTGGTTTCTGAAACACTCAGGACAACAAAAAACAGAGGAATTAATTACAGCGAAACTGAAGAAAAGTTTCAGAGATGAGCTTGGAGCTGGGAGAGATTTATTTATGAGGGATAAGGATTCATTAAACAATTCAGCAGATCTGGCAGCATCTTTGGAGAGATGTGTTCTGATGAAGGACTCGAAATGTTAACTGTTTCTCCACACATGCTGCCAGATCTACTGAGTTTCTCCAGCAATTTCCAGCATCCGCAGTTCTTTGTTTATCCAGGAACCAATTAATTGATTTACAACACTCAAGCTCTCGGTAGATGGTTCAATTTAAGATTTTTAAAAAATGTAAACAGCAAAAGTTAAAAGGAAATTAAGTGTCCCAATGAAAAGATGTTAAACCAGCGGCTCACTTGAAACCATTTAGTTCACGAACGACTTGGGGACAGATGGGGCTACTCTCTGGACAATGAGTCCGCATCGAATTCTGTGCGTTATTTCTGGCTTCACTTTGATTTGGAACGAATAACTCGGCATTCCGATACTAACGACAGAGAGAAAGAGAGAGAGAGAGGAACGGCAATGTTCACAAACAGAACCATCCAAAGTCTGCACATTCCCAAACTGGAATCTCCTCAAGGGCGATGCTGAGGGCCCCTGTCCCGTGGGAAGGTGACAGTTCTTGCAGATCCGGGGAGTCAGGTTTTAATGGGGATTCTGATTCCATTGGAATAAACGAGAGGTGCCGTGTGTTAATGCGGGAGATCATTCCTTCTCCGCCTTGCGGCTGCTCTTGTGGAGAACCGGCAGGAACCGGCAAAATTCTGCAAATAATTCGTAAAGTCAGCAAACCCCCGGAACGGATCTTTAATTTCATGGAAATTGAAGACTGCTTGCCCCAAAGTGATAAAATAATTTAAACCTTTACAACAGAATGTCAAACTTTCGACGTACTCTTAAAATAATTGCATTAAGGTTCGTTATTACATCATTAAAGCTAAGCATTTAATGGGTTACGCTTTGCTCATTATTTATATTATATTTTATAATATATAAATTTATATGATGCCTCTTTCTCCTATTGAAAAAGGTCTCGCAGTCCATAGGGAGAACTTCTAACTAAATGATGACAGTGTTAACATACACAAAGTGGAAGGTGGACGTTATAATGAGCGGATCAAGTCCAGTCACTTTCTGGGAAGAAATCTCCATTTAAAGAATCTCTAACAGTGGGTTTTAAACTCAGGACTGCATATCACAACCCTTCGAATTGTAGCCCGTTTGCTAATTTAAATCCCCTAAACTTGGAAAGGAAATTCGTACAATTGCAAACAACAACTTGAACGGCTATCGTTGAAGGTTTGTTTTCTTTTACTCCCACACTCAAGTAAAATCTCAACGAGCTTGAGTTAAAGTTTGAAAAGTTGCATCTTTTGGGGATAGGGCTCTTACCATCAAAGGTGTGAGGCCGGTCGCCGTCAAAGGTGTGAGGCCGGTCGGTGACCTCCCGGAGCCCAAGGCCGGGGATGGGGCTGTAACAGGCAGTCTGCTGGCTCTCGCCCTGCTCCTGGGAGCATTTGGAAGGAAGGGGCGCCGGGCTGAGCACGGATTGATCCTTCGCAAATCCCAGGATCACGTCGATGCTGTGAACTCGCGAACAGGCGCCTGGGCTCTTAACCATTTCGTGGAAGCTGCTGGGGGGCAAACAGGTTTCTTCCACGCCGTTCATTTCAGCCTGGAACGACGCATTGGGCTCCAAGAGAAAAAAACAAATCACAGCTCACAGCAACTTCTGCAAAGCCAAGCCCCCCTGCTCACAACTTTCGAAGTCGATTCCAATCGACATTTTGTTAAAGAAAAACAAGCTCCAGTGGCGAGTACAGACCTTGGAAAAGTTTTAAAAGACATTATTGGTTAAGTAGCAATTACAACTACATGAGTAATTGGATGTCAAATAGACATCTGAACCTGTTCTTTAAAAAGTGACCCACGAAATAAGGACAAATGAGCCGCACAAACCGTGAATTTCAGATTGGAATTGCAAGCTACACCACTCTGTAAGTACCTGGCGTCCTTATTTGATAAAAATGTTAAACAGACTAGGAAAGAAACTCAACGTCTGAAAAATTGGAAACAGTTACATTTTAAAAAGAAGGCACACCCTTTTTTCTAAAAAAAACCTCTCCAATTCTACCGAACCTCAAGAAAATACCCTGTGGGACTCGCCTGATCTCCTGAGATCTCTCCCTGGCTCCCAGACCACTCCCCATAGTGTTCCGTCAATCTTTTAAGCTTCCCAGATGTCGGTATACGAGGGGGAAAGGAATAAATCGCCGAGGATTAGCGGAGCTGATCATTAGGACAGACATCCTCTTGACACTGATTGACACGAAGGGGATTTTTTTTTAATGCAGTAATTGCTGTAAATTCCGAGAGAGGTGGTTCTCTCACTGAATTGTCACCTCCGGAGGAAAGCTCCACTTTGTTAACTGGTGCCTTGGCTGTGAATCAAACACTTAGACATTTCGGACTTTCTAGTTCGGGTTTGGGTATGGAGAAGACCCCTTTACGACCCCCGCAACATCTCAATGTTAGTTTCAAAAGCACTGAATATGGGAGCCCTAACCCAATAAATTACTGCGAAACAGGGAAAGCTGGAAGAAATATTTCAAATTAATATTGGAAAGAGCGGCACAATCTGCTGGTTTCTCGCCTCATTGTGTTTACTTATATCGTCATTGAATCTCTACAACGTGGAAGCCGGCCATTCGGCCCAAAGTGTCCACATCGATCCTCTGAATAGCATCCCATCCAGATCCACCCCCCCACCCTATCCTCGTAACCCTGCATTTCCCATGGCTAATCTACCTAGCCTGCACATCCCTGGACACTATGGGCAATTTAGCATGGCCAATCCACCTAACCTGCACATTTCGTGTCCATAGAAAAGGCTTTTATTTTCCACCCAAAAAAATCACTAAAAGGGAAATCGAAGACTAGAGCTCTTTAAATTTGATATACAAACAGAAAATGATGGTTCGTTTACAGAAACGACAGGTGATTACTAGACACTACGTTCCTCTTTCAGAAACCCTTCTGAAGCTGGTTTCACATAATGGGGATCTGTCTATTGTATTTCCCTAATAATTCTGACAATTAGCTAAAAGGAAAGGACTGCGGATGCTGGGGACCTGAAACAAACACAGAAAGTGCTGGAGAAACTCAATGGGTCTGGCAGCATCTGTAGAGAGAGAAACAGGGTCAACTTTGCCAGCCCAGTTATGAGCCTTCTTTGCACCGATGTTGAGTTTCTCCAGTTTTCCCGGTGTTGAATTCTGACAGTCCACATTTTGTAAGGGTTGGTAGAGTATCATTTAAATACTTTTACAATGTACAAAAACAACTCCCAAATTCTGCACCCCAAATCTGCACCTCCCAGTCGCGAACCATTTCAACTCCCCCTCCCATTCCTC